TAAAAAAAATGTCTGTTTTTGAGTTGTTTAAAAAATATATATAATATTTAATTTTAATTAATTTAATTTATGTTGATTGGAAATAATTAATAAAGAACTTAAATACTATACGTTGATTTCATATTGGTCAATTTGTTTAAGATATCTAAATTAACTTTTATTATAATTAATGCTCTAAAATTAATGATTTTTTTTTTAACGATAAATGGTAATACTAAATTTTAAATCAATTTATTTTATGAGGTTTTCAAGTAGAATTCTGTTTTTCATTGGATAATTAAAAAAAACCCANAATACAAAATTTGTATTTTGTTTTATATTTTTTGTCCATTTTTTTCATATTATGTTTGATTTTATTTTAATTGTATTCTGTTTTTCATTGGATAATTAAAAAAAACCCAGCACAGAGGAGTCGCGGCATAGTTGGATCAAGTATAATAATATCTGACAGTGATTAAAATCACTATCAAAATAAAACGCTTCGATGCAAATCTTTAGATAGAGTTTAATTTTAAAAAATACACTTTTCAATAAGCNGAGTTTAATTTTAAAAAATACACTTTTCAATAAGCTATAGCATTATAAAGTTAAAAATGTGAAAAATAAAATTGAGAATTTTCACACAAAAATAACATTCGGTAGCCATTTTCACCATGAAGACAAGTCTAGAGGTCAATTATTTTTTTCATAATAAAGTACTTTACATTAGCTTTAATTTAAGATATATATATAAAAGTGTCAGACCTTTCGGAACATTTTCAAAAGTTAAGTTGAAAAAGTTNGGTCTATAATTTTTGACATCAGCTTTATCACCAGATTTAAAAATAGGAGTGATAGAGCTAATCTTGAAAGAAGAAGGAAAAACTCCGCTTTCGATTGAACGCTTAAAAAGTAGCCACAGTGGAAAACATAATGAAGATTTCACATTGTATAAAAATATACCTGACAAGCCGTCGGGGCCTACGGACTTAACATTTTTTAGTGCGTCTAGACCAGCCTCAACATCATCGATGTCGAATGAACAAGTGCTAGGTAGGTCATGGAACAAAAAAGGGGACGAATGGTCAGTAGACAGAGGAGGGACATAGACTGTATTGAAGTAATGGGAAAATAAGTTAGAGACAGACTCTGAACCCGAGCTTTGTAAATTCTCGAAATGTACTGAGTGGGGAATTTCGTTGCTAGATTTATTAACTCGGACAAAGTCCCAAAACGACCTGGGGTTAGATTTAAGCATAGACTCAGTACGAGACAGGTAGATAGTATGACATCTCTTGTATTCAGCCTTGTAAGAGGCACGAAGTGCGGAAAATTCCGCATAATCATGGGGACATCGTGAAGCTTTAAACTTGGCATGAGCCCTTTTCTTGCTTAAAACAATATGCTTAAGATTTTTTGAAAACCATTTCGGGAATGTCGAAGGTATATAAGACACTTCCGGAACAAAGTTTAAAATGCAAAAGTGCAAGGCGTCGTAAATTGCCTTAGCCGCTTCATCAACGTCGAGAGATATTATGGTCTCCAACCAATTAAATGAATTTAAGAATTCGCATATTTTTGAATAGGGAGCACGGCGGAAGTCATAATAATTATGGGAACGATCAAGTAAAGGGGAGAGTTTATCCAACTTTATCATAATATCAAGAGCCGGGTGGTAGGGATCACAAGGTACTGCTGGAGTTACGGCTTTAGAGATATAGATTCTGTTATCATTGGAGAACACAAGGTCCAATACTACACCAAAAGGGTTTTGAATATCATTAAGTTGGAAAAAGTTAAAGAACGCAAATGCATCAGGGATACATTGAACTCTGGGATTAGAAACCGTATTGTAAAGTAAGCCAGAATCATCATTGGACCATATAATATCTGGCAAATTGAAGTCACCACAAAAAATGAAAACACATTTTGGATGAAGGAGAAGAACGGATTGTACAGCGGAAATAAAAGATTCATAAGCAGAAAGTGGGCAATTAGGAGGAAAGTACACTGAGCACAATACATAGTTGATGTTATTATAACTAAGTTTAACAAATAGATGTTCAACATTGGTAGCTGGAGTGTAAATTAAATTAGATACTATGTCACTACGAATGGCAATGAGAGCGCCGCCACCTCTAGAAAAATTACTTGTTAAACTATTTCTATCACATCTATAAATGATGTAGTTGGATAGACCAAGCTCACTATCATAGAAGCTGTCACATAGCCATGTTTCAGTGAAACAGATAAAAACATAATCAAAAACAGCGACATTACATTTTAATTTACTTAGTTTGGTTCTCAACCCGCGGCAATTTTGATAAAAACCTAAAAGAATATGGTTACAAGTACATAAATCACTACATAAACAATAATCCTTACTATTATAATTATAAGAGTGTATATCAACAGGAGGATCACAGATAGGCGTACATGAAGAAATTAGTTTTTTGGAGTGTCGCTTAGAATCATCTCGGGCGTAAGACGACCCCAAAAGCGTTTGACCATTACGCCATCAGGCCAGAATGTAGGTTCGAGGACTACATCGAGCTTCTCCGCAGGCAGGCGCACATGAAAAGAAGAATACGATGGATGTTTTGTCACTAATTTATGTATGGTCACATCTGAGTAGCTATTGAACAATTCAGATTTAAGCATAGAGGTCGTTACACATGGCTCAAGTCTTGAGACAAAGATATCAATATGTCTCCGCACTGGCACTGAAGACAACTTGGAGGATACACTTTTATGAGAGCCAACGATAAATTTTGATTTTATGGACGAGGATAAACTAGCAGTCGATTGTATTGCAGGCTGTCTAGAACGAGTGTCCGCATTCAGCTTGGAGAGTAAAGTAGTTGGTTGATTGTTTGAACCAGTATTTAGATTAGGAGAAGTGGAAACCTTAGCAGTAGTATTGAGATGGTTTAGCTTATCGTGTAACTTAGAGTTACTAAGTGCAACAGATTTGAGCTCATCGACAACAGATTGAAGAATAGTGGCCACATTTAATGAGTTCTCAGAAGATAGCGATGCAGGGTTAGAAGAAGATCCTTTTAAGAATGTTGACAATTCCTCACTTAATTTCACCCCAGTAGGAAGTGATTGAGTAATAATGAAGTCAACGAGCATGTTTTTTGTCCACTTATTCAGCTCAGTAGAAAGTAGATCATTACTTTGGGCCATTGCGTTAACGACTAATAGTTTAACTAAATAGTCAAATAATCAAAATTAATTAAAATAAAAATTAATTAAAATAAAACAAGACGCCTTTGGAAATGTAGATAGGCCAACTAAATTACACCCGACGCTAAAAGCAGCTATATGTGTTGGCCTTGACACGTGCCGTGTTCAATCAAGAAAAATTGAGACGCGGGACGCCGCAACTTATCGTTAGTCGATAAGCCGTAATTAACTGATAAAGTGAATTTATTTGGTTTTACCTTTACACGTTCAGGTCGTATAACAGAATTGAAAAACTAACATTAAGTGAAGAGATAGTAGGAAGACTGACTCAACAACGACACCAGTCATTCGCGCACTTTTTATAAACTTAACAAGCTTAAAAACGTAAAAAACGGTTAATTATTTCCAGAGGAAACAAGAAGCGAACACAGAGCTATAATTGACCATAATTTGTGTTGTAT